ATTCTCTTGTGCTCCTCAAGCTCCCCCTGCTTTTCATTCTGTGATTCTCTGGCTCAGCTTCAATGAGCCAGACAGTTAACTTGAGTGTATTTCCACATCTTCTTGTAACATTCAGTGGCTAGGATGTTTTAGTGCTAACAAGCTGGAATAGGTGGGGCAGTGTGGGTGTAAAGATATCTTCCTTCTCTGCCGAAAGAACTGTGTTCTCAGGGATCAGAATACAAAAACCAGACAACACAGCAAGAATGTCACTAGATAAAATAAGATAAATTAAAGGAGAGAACTGGGGGTTAGATTCTGAACTCGTGGCTGATTTATGTAGATGCTGTTCAAGAAAATCTGAAGTAAAAGGAAAGCCAGCCTTAAAATATTAACTCTCTCCCTATTGTTTGTGGGTTTTTGTTTGTCATAGTTTTTATATTCATTCCAGTCATGATGCAAACACACTATTAAAAATAACTTGCTGCAAAACTCTGTGTGCGCTAGATTAAAGCTAATCCTGCAAGAGATTTATTCCTCCTTCTTCACACATGCTGGAGTAATCTGCCCTGTCTTCCTCAAAATCTATTCTCACACTTCCATCAGTGTTAGGAGTACAAGCAACAGCAGCAGCTTATTTATTAAATTTCTCAAGCCAAATTAATGCATACTTCTGCAGTTCTAATTGCTTTTCTACAGTTGCTTGCACAAGTCACAGAACAGGCCTTTAGTAATGTAATTTTACTAACCACATGTTGTTTGGTTCCTACTCTTTCTATGCATCAACATCTTTGACTGAAGGAAAATGAAAAGAATTTTGTCTTTTTTTAAATGTTTTCAATTTCACCTGCTGGATCTAACATGTGATGCAAAGTGATAGTCACGCAGCTTCTTATGTCAGGAGATGACAATTCCTGCTAAGTAGTAAAAGACTGCTTGTGACTGAGAGGGAAACGTCTACATCAAATTAACTCTGTGCTCTTGCAGCATTAAAAGTTATATGAGGATAGCACAATAGGAAATAAACTACGAGGAGATGAACAGCTTCTTATTCAGCACAGGATACATATGCTGTAAAACAAAGTGTCAACAGCAGCTGATGGCTTCCAATGTTTCTTAACTTCAGTCTAGCTACATTCATGTCAGCACTGGAAGGAGATTTGTTCAAAATTGCACCAGTGCACATATAACTTCTGGGAGATCTAAGGAACAACCTTACGCAATTGTTCATCTTATTGAGTGTTCTCATTCAGAACTTAATCCTGCAGCCCTTCCTAAAGATTATATATGTGCAACTACAAGGACTACACACCTAATGGTACTGTCTACACCCAAGCTCCAGGTCCTTTTGTCCTTTTGGTAAAAGTGACAGACCACTTCTTACTTCCACTGTGCTCTGATTCTGGTTTACAGGAGCTCTCTCAGATAAGAAGTTTCCCTGGACCGCAGAAAGGCAATCAAACAGAGCCATTCTGTTCTCACCCAGAGCTACCAGAGCAGGGACATACAGCATGGGATCAGACGAGCCACAGGTGTGTCAGAAGAAGGCAGGCTGTGCTTTGGGAATGCTACACTCCAGCCATTCTGTGATTCTGCAGTGGGCCATACCGATTCTTGGCTACTTCCTGAACTCAGGGAAGAGACCTGCAGTAGTACAAAATCGTCTTGATTTTCATCTATAACTTTCTTCCGAAGAGCCTCTTAAATCCACAGACCTCTAGATTTATGAATGACCCATGGTTTTTCTCCAGATGATTCCTATTTATAAATTTATACCTATGACATACCTCATTTCATATGTCCTGTATATTTTGTACAATTCAATTCTTCAGAAGAGTTAGATTTTTCTCTTCAAAGATAAAATAAGCCAAGAGTTCTGAAGTTTTATCAGATATGCAAACAGGGCTTAGACTGTATGTTTTTCCCCTCTCCCTTCAAATTCAGAAGGCCTGCAAACACTTTACTGTTGAAGCATTTTTTTCCAACAAATACTCCCACTGAATTATTTACTGTTGAGACATAAAAAAGCATTCAGAATATCTGTAATTTACTGGAGGAGAAAAAGTCTGAATTAAATCATCTGTGTTTTATAGCTTGATCGTGCTGGCTGAAGACGATTTCAGGGCAAGATTCATTACTGCCTGATGCTCCTTTGGGCTGGTGAAATGAACATCGACATATGCACGCATGGGAGAAATAAAGTTTGGTTTAAAATAAAGTTTTGGTGATGCTATACAGACCACGCTCTTTCAGCACCGCACCTTGCCACCTTCTCAAAACCCACTGATGTATACAAAGAATGCTTCTGCAGCACTGCTTTCACCTTTCTCATCGCAATCCCTGATGTGACATTATGCAGGAAGAAGGAATTCTCAGGGGAAGATTTGTTCAGTGGCTGAATGTGATGGATAATCACGCAGTGTTTGTTTCCAACAATGAACATAAACACTGTGATACTTAACTTGGAGAAGTGTCTGTCCACAGAAATTACTTCAGAGCTCTAACTTATAGAGCAAGAATGGGATTTGGTTCTCCTGACACATTTACCTAGACATCTTTTAGAGCCAATGGAGAGAAACAGGCTTTTCTACATTATGATTCATTTATTCATTTTATTACCTTTTTGGATTAAATCAATCTCACCTTAAAAGTGCCTCCTTCTCTCCATGGACTGGAAATGGTTTCTATGTGACTAGCTCACAGTTTAAACATTAGAATTCCCACCCCATTTGTCTGCCCCTGTAAATGAGTAGAACTAGGCCCCTTCAGCTTGAATCCAACCAATCCAACCAACGATGAGCAGGGACTACCTGAAGCTACCAGTGCTGTGTTTGAGATCACACGCCCCTCTAGTTTTTATGCTGTGCCTCCTTTAGAGTTTCAGTTTGAATCCAAAGCATACTTTTGAAGTGATTCCCACAGTCATCCCCAGCTAACTGCTAAGCTTTGTTTTGCTTCATGAAACAGTCTGAGTCCATCGTTGGTTCTGTTTCGGATGAAACTAAGCCAGAAGATGCACTCCATGAATGCCCCTAATGTGCTTCTATCACTAATGTGTGTTTTAATTCATGGGATCAGACTAGAGGTAATTTGAAGTAATTCCCCATGAAACTTGCATATTATTGATGCTGGGTCCTCATATCCACCTGTTTCGCTACAGAGCCATTTCTTCTGGACTGCACTTCTTCCTAATTCAGATACAGCCTTAGATTTCTAAAATCTTTCCTACATGTACCTTCCTCCACTGACGGTTCACAGCCAGGAACTGTTGCTTGAACACAGGTGCCGATGCCACTCGCCTGCTATCATCTATGCTGTTTTACAGCTAGCATGCCTGGCACAGTTCTGGTCCAGCCCAGCTAGCCCTCTTTTATACACAGCTGGGAGATGGCATGTGCCAGAGACTGCCTCCAGCAGGCAGCCTGGAGGCAGACAAGCATCTTCTGGGGGGGAGGAGTGCTCTGGCATGTGGATGACAGCCATAATATGCCACACATCTCTGAGGCCAGAAAAGCCTCGACCTGTTTTGCTTACTGCAACAAACATGACCTTAGTGACTACAGCACTCTACAAGGATAAGGGAGAAATTGTCCATGGCTAAAAGAGCTCCGCTCCTCTGTTTTAATTAACTGCCCCATGGAATAGCCAGCAGAACAGAACAAGTGCCTCCTGGACTACAGGGTAGTCTGTAGCCTGGTGGTTTGGTCAGCCTCTGCAGGAAGAGAATCCCCTTAAGCAGAAGAGGCAACTGAACCCAAGTCTCCCACATCCTAGATTAGTGCATTCACCACTCAGACCTTGAATAAAAAACAATTACCACCTCTGCTCCACAAGAGCATTTCGTGTGGCGTCCAATCCTTTGTGGAGCTGGGTCTAATTGCTTTCTCAGCGAAGCTGCAAAATGACATGGATGCAACCGTAATTCATGGCCTTGAGGTGACAGGCTGTAACGGCCAGCAACAATACGGAGTTTAATGTTCTGTTAGCCTTCCCGAAGTAATTCAACAACACCCTGACAATCCTTACCAAATGAAGATCCCTGAGGAAAAGGCAAAGAAAAGCCTAATTCCTGGACTGTAGTTTTAGGCAAACTGTTGTCAAAACTGCTTCACGTCATTGAGACTGAAGGGTTTCTGAGCATACCCCAAAGCTAGCGCTGTCATTAGGACCATGTTCGCTAAAACTTGGGGCACTTAAAAAGTTTAAGCATGGTCCGGTTGTGCCAAATATGAGCTGGAGCTGTCAGACGAGTAGGTTTCGGACTGGGTTTCCCTAGTCCCGCCGCGGGCATCTGCATTTGCTAACCTTCATCTGGCCTTCAGCACCTCTCTGCCTTTACTCTCCACCGGCACGCAAACGGAGCGGCGCTCCCTGCTACCCGAAGGCTGCTCGGCCAGTACATCACCGATCACCGGGCGAGCCGCGGCGTGGCATCTGCGCTGACAGAAGCACTGCAGGCCGAGTTACCGTTTCACGGCCTGCACAGAGCCTCGTGCCCGGTGACCCAAAAGTCGCCCAGCGACCCGGGGTGGGACCGCCAGGCCTCGATGAGCCAAGCCTTGCAACACACCCCCGGGGCAGCGAGGGACGGACACGCCGCCGCTCCCCTCCTGCCGGGAGCGGCTGCCTCCCGCTGGGAGTCCCGCACCCACACCTCCGGCCTGCGCCTTCGCCCCTCAG